AGGGGGCCTCGCATGCTGCCGGAGACGGGTGCACCGGCAATCACACAGCCGCCCCTGCTGCGGATTTTCTGGTAAGTAGTAGTGTTTTGTAGGGGTTTTTTTGATCCGCATCTTCGGCTGGAAGAGATGGATTGGGGACGGGTGAGCACCGCTTCCCAGATGTTGCGGTGTGATCCCGCCCGCTTGATGCATCCCTCTCGTGGATCAAAGCCTCCCATGTGACTGGGGCCTTCATGTGAGCTAGCTCACAGTTTTTTAGCCACCAGCTCACACATTTTTGTCTTAGCTCAGAAAGGATGGCTCCAGAGCAAACTAATTTATGCAGTAGCCAAATCACTTGCTCACAACTTAGCTCACAAAGTAGAATTTTTGCTCACAGGACTCCACAGTTTAGAGGGAGCATTGCCTTGGATGGGCAAGTTCTGGCCCCCGGGCCTTATGTTTGACACCCCTGTTCTAAAACATCCATTTTCTCTAGCGAAACTGATCTCTGTAGTCTGGAGAACAGCTGTAATTCTGGGAGCTCTCAAGCCACCACATGGAGACTGGCAAATGTAGGTGTTATCCACACTTAATGGCCATTAATAAAAGGTAAAGGTTCCCTTGCTTGAAAGCCAGTCGAATCCTACTCTAGGGTTGCGATGCTCATCTCCGTTTCAAAGCTGAAGAGCCAGTGCTGTCCAAAGACGTTTCCGTGGTCATGTGGCCAGCATGACTAAACACCAAGGCGCACAGAACGCTGTTACCTTCCCACTGAAGTGGTACCTATTTATCTACTTGCAATTTCTTGTTTTCGAACTGCTAGGTTGGCAGGAGCTGGAACTAGAGACGGGAGCTCACTCTGTCATGCGGCACACTTGGGTCTCAAACTGCTGAACTACTGACCTTCCACAGCCTGCAGTTCAGCATCTTAACCACTTGAGCCACTAGAGAGAAGTAAATAAATACTGGATGCTAACTGCACTGCTCTTCCATTTGAGGACACGTTTGCCTGGGGGGGGGGGCACAGTTGCACGCTTGATGGGAGGACTATGTTTGGATTAGTGGCTCACAAACTGCAGTAGCCCTCTCTTGTCTGTGCCCCGTTGATTCCTGTCCAGTCCCCGGTGGATCTCTGAGAACATTTCTTCCGCCATCTTCTTCCACCATTCTGTTAAAATATTTAAAACCCAAACTCCCAACAACTGGTGTCAAACCCCTTAGGCCTGGCCTAGACCTGCAGCGGAAAGGGTTGACTGAGAGCTGAGGCGGTAGAGCGGGCCATACCATCTAGGCTATAGGGGAGGATTACAGTCGTCACAAGTTCCTCTCACCAGTTAACACCTTGCAAACAGAAAACTAGCACATCATGGGGAAAGTTTCCCTTTCTCCCCAAAGGTGTTCCTTTTTAATATTAAATGGAAACAAACTACAAACGTGGTTGCCTCCCCCCCACGATTACAGTCGTCACAAGTTCCTCTCACCAGTTAACACCTTGCAAACAGAAAACTAGCACATCATGGGGAAAGTTTCCCTTTCTCCCCAAAGGTGTTCCTTTTTAATATTAAATGGAAACAAACTACAAACGTGGTTGCCTCCCCCCCACACAGTCTGAAGTGGTACAGCTCATACTGCCACCTCATTCTGTTGCATGTCGAATGGAGTAATGGTTAGAGTGGTGTAGTGGTTCTGTTGCCCTCACCTGGATGGCCCAGGCTGGCTAAATGGAAACAAACTACAAACGTGGTTGCCTCCCCCCCCCCAGTCTGAAGTGGTACAGCTCATACTGCCACCTCATTCTGTTGCATGTCATATGGAGTAATGGTTAGAGTGGTGTAGTGGTTCTGTTGCCCTCACCTGGATGGCCCAGGCTGGCCTGATCTTGTCAGATCTTGGAAGCTAAGCAGGGTTGGCCTTGGCTAGTATTTGGAAGGGTGACCTCCAAGGAATACCAGTAGTAGTAGTAAGTACGTTTATTGTATATGGTCGTTGGCCGTTACAATATAAAATATAAATTTAGGGTCCAAAAGTACTGTTCTAAAAACAAAGCCTTCAGCATAAGACTGTACAGCATTTGAACAAATAAAACAATCAAAGTTTTAAAATCATAAAAGCTATGCTACCAGTTTTGTAGCTCTAGGAAACAACCTTGGATCTAACTTTTTCGGCTGCAAGCCAAAAAGTGCTACTTTGTAACCACGGTCAAGGAATACCAGGGCTGCGACGCAGAGGCAGGCAATGGCAAATCTCCTCTGAAACATCTCTTGCCTTAAAAAAAAACTAGCCCGCCACCTAGTGGTGCATAACAGTAAAAGAACTAGAACTTCTGGCTGCCAGACAATCTTAGGATCGCCTGGCTATACATGATGACGATGATGATGTGGTTATATTTATCAGTACAGAGGGATGCTACCTGGATTTTCTACCTGAGGCACCAAAACATTTTTGAGCTGTCTCTGCCCTTTCCCTGCTCCCCCGTCCTCCTTGCCCTCCCTTGTCTCTGTTATAAGCCATTCTTTCTTTTCAGGGACTCCCCAAACGATGCCACACATGGTGTCGGGCTAGGATCTGGGAGACCCAGATTCGAATCCCCACTCTGCCATGGAAGCTTGCTTGAACGACATTGGGCCAGTCATTCTCTCGCAGCCTAACAGACTTCACTGGAGTGGTGGTGGAGAGGGTAAAATGGAGGAGGGGGGGGAAACAATGTTGTAAGCCGCTTTTGGTCTCCACGGGGGAGGAAGAATAAATATCAAAGTAAATAAAAGGCCCAGGAAGCTTTTATTGATGGAAGGCACAAAAGCAACTATTAGAAAAAGTGTAAGGAGCTTTTTAGGTCATTGCTATGTTTATATATTATAAATACACACACATATATATATTCATATTACAGATCACAATAGCATTAGAGACACACACACAAGCTGACAGCTACAATGACCCTAGTACAGATATCTCTCCCCCTCCCTTCTCCCCCAGCCACGGTTGTCAAGACTATTTTTTCACAAAATAAGAGATATGGAGAATCGCGGGTGAGCGGAGACATTTCTGGGGCTGTGTGACCTGGTGAGGCAAGGAGGTATCTTGTGTGCAGTCTTGTGAAGGGGGAAAACGCCTTTCCTATGAGTCCGTGGTGTTCTCGCTTCGAAGAGTGGCATCTATCACTTGATGGAGGTCTATGGATTGTAGATCCCAAGCAGGGCCGGCTCACTCACTAGGCGAACTAGGTGATCGCCTAGAGCGGGCTGGCCCTTAGGGGCACCAAACTGCACCCGGCCCTGTACTCTGGGAGTTTCTTGATTATTTGTGTTTTTCATTCTTCCTAAAATGCATTTATTTTTGAAAAATGGTGGGCGCCGGGGGGGGGGGGCGCCAGAAGGGATCCTCAGCTAGGGTGCAAAATAAGCTGGGGCCGGCCCTGATCCCAAGCCAGAAAATCCCACCCCAGCAAGCAAGTCACCAGGTGGTTTTACACAGGTGTAGTTGTTAGAGCGACAGAGGCCCACGTTCGAATCCCCATTCAGCCACACAAGTCTGCTGGGCGACCTTGTCACCCAGCCTAACCCACCTCACAGGGCTGTTGTGAGGATAAAAGGAGGTACACAGAACAACACACACACCCCTCTGACCTGAGCTCCTTGGAAGAATCGCTTGAAAATGCATAAAGGCCTGTTTTCTACAAAGC